CGGCCTGGGTGCACCTCCCCCACCTCCAGAAACGCACAAACCAAGCAATTAATCCGTAGTCAGCCAAGGTGCAAATTCAACGCTTTCCCGGAACACGTTAGCATGGATAATTAAATGTTTTTTTTCTAAAATCTATCCATGCATTTTTTTTAGTTACAAACACTATAGAATATATAGCATTATATTGGAGCTTCGAAACAGGCCACTGTTCATTTGCACCGGATATTCCATCGATGAAGTTTGATCAGAGAGGTTGACAGACGACCACAGTATCTGGAGGTTCTTCTTCGTTAGACAGTATGTCAATGAAAAGGAGGAATTTGGGACAAGAGTAGTGTTCACCGACGAAGAAAAAAATTCGTCCAACAACCATGTGTAGACACGAAACAATACAAGGTAGTAAACCCAAAAAGTTATGTTTGTAACATTGGTTAAATTTAGTAAACTGAATATCAAATTATTTTATGAAGTCCCACATATCTTCCAGTAAATAATAAATCATAATTTGACTTGAAAGTGAAGAATGTCACAAAGTGATAAGGTCTACATTATTTTACTAAGATATGATTGGTCTACTATCTATGGAAAACAACGAAGCGGGCGATGAGGGTTAATGTGCGTGGATGGATGACTCTACTGTCACAAAGATTCAAGATGGTTTAATGGCGAAAGATACGTTCACACCCAGGGGCGTACCCAGGATTCTGGTATGGGGGGGTTTCCCTTGATTTTCCGAATGTAAATATATACAGGGCGAGCGAAGCGAGCCAATACATCTCGGGGGTTCAGGAGGGTGCTGTAAGCCCCCCCCCCCCCGAGAAAAATTTGAAATTTGACTAATTTCAGGGACTTTTTGAAGCCATATACGACGGCTAATAGGATATTTGAAAAGATAATCAAGGGGTAATTTAGAGTGAGAGTAAACATTCAACGTTATAACACACTTGAAAATGAAAAAGTACAAGGCAAGTTCAACGTATAAATCATATTTTATTTTTATTACACATCAAGAGTCACTTACCTATATGCTAATACTACCACATATGGGTTCATTAACACTTTATTTTGCATTGTTTAAGCAATCACTTCATTACAGTTATTCATGATCATCTGCAATAACATCAACAAGTTCCATCTTCCTTGGACTTCGCCGTGGAAAGATGTCAATGATGTCACTGACTTCCACTGAAATATCTCTGTGGATGTGGAGGAGGCTGAGGCTGGACAGTCGTGGAGTCCCCATTGCTGATCTTATA